CTGCCTGACCCCCTTCCCCCCCCAGTTCCAGGACTCGGTTCCGTGCCACCTGGAGAAGGAGGACTCGGTGGACGTGCAGCAGTTCTACGATCTCCTCACGGGTTCCATGGACGTCATCCGCAAATGGGCTGAGAAGATTCAGGGCTTCACCGAGCTGCCGCGGGAGGACCAGGATCTGCTGCTGGAATCTGCCTTCCTCGAGCTCTTCATCCTGCGCCTGGCCTACCGGTGTGCCTCGGGTGGGATGTGGGGGACGTGGGGACGTGCCATGGGGGCACCTGGGGACATTCCATAGGGGACATTCCGTAGGGGACATTTGGGGACATGGCATGGGGGATGTGCCGTGGGGGTTGGATGTGCCATGGGGACACCTGGGGATATTCCAGAGGGGATATTTGGGGACATGGCATGGGGACACGTGGGGATGTGCCATGGGGACACTTGGGGACACGTCATGGGGGACGACGTGCCATGGGGACACGTGGGGATGTGCCATCGTGGGAGTTGTGCCATGAGGGACGCCTGAGGATGTTCCATGGGGACACCTGGGGTTGTGCTGTTTTGGGGGATGTGCCACGGGGTACAACTGAGGACGTTCCATGGGGGACATCTGGGGATGTGGGGGGACATGGGGACATGCCATGGGGGCATCTGGGGACATTCCATAGGGGACATTTGGGGACATGGCATGGGGGACGTGCCATGGGGGTTGGATGTGCCATGGGGACACCTGGGGCCATGTCATGGGGGACATTTGGGGCCATGTCACGGGGGATGTGCCATGGGGACACGTGGGGACATTCCATAGGGGACATTTGGGGACACGGCATGGAGGACGTGCCATGGGGGACACCTGGGGATGTGCCATGACGGGAGCACCATGGGGGACACCTGGGGACGTTCCATAGGGGACACTTGAGGCCACGTCATGGGGACGTGCTATGGGATCACATGGGGACGTGCAATGGGGTGATGCGCTGCGTACCAGGGAGCCACATCCCCCCCTTTTGTTGGGGACACTTGGGGACAAAGCACGGGGGACACGCCATGGGAGGACAGCTGGGGATGTGCCGTGGGGTGACGCATTGCTGACCCCACAGCTCCAAGCCGGAGGAAGGGAAGCTCATCTTCTGCAATGGGGTGGTGCTGCACCGGCTGCAGTGCGTGCGGGGCTTCGGCGAGTGGATCGATGCCATCCTGGAGTTCTCGCACAGCCTGCATCGCATGAGTGTTGACGTGCCTTCCTTCTCCTGCCTCGCCGCCCTCGTCATCATCACGGGTGAGGTGGCACGGGGCACCACGTGGCCCTATTTGGGGTCCCCGTGGGGTTCTGAGCTGTAGGTCCTCAGTGGCCCCACTTGGGTGTCCAAGGGAGTCCCTTCTCCGGTGGTGCCCCCAGTGGTCCCACATTGGGTTCCTGTGGGGTCTCCACACCATCCATGTCCCCAGTAACCCACACTGGGTTCCCATGGGGTTTCCATGCCATCCACGTCCCCAACGCCCCACATTGGGTTCCTGTGGGGTCTTCATGCCATCGGTGTCCTCAATGTCTTGCGTTGGGTTCCCATGAAGTCTCCACGTGGTTGGTGTCCTCATTGGGTTCCTATGGGGTCTCCATGCAGCCAGTGTCCTCAGTGGCCCCATATTGGGTTCCCACGAGGTCTCCACACCATCCGTGTCCCCAATACCTCATATTGGGTTCTCATGAGGTCTCCATGTGGTTGGTGTCCTCAATACCCCACACTGGGATCCTATGGGGTCTCCATGCTATCAGCATCCCCCATACCTCACACTGGGGTTCCCATGGGGTCTCCATGTGTTCAGTGTCCCCCAATACCCCACCCTGGGTTCCTGTAGGATCTCCATGCTATCAGTGTCCTCAATGGCCCCACACTGGGTTCCCATGGGATCTCCATGTGGTTGGTGTCCCCAGTACCCCACATTGGGTTCCCATGGGGTCTCTATGTGTTCAGTGTCCCCAGCACCCCACATTGGGTTCCTGTGGGGTCTCCACATGTTCGATGTCCCCAATACCCCACACTGGGTTCCCATGGGGTCTCTATGTGTTCAGTGTCCCCAACACCCCACATTGAGTTCCTATGGGGTCTCCACATGTTCGATGTCCCCAATACCCCACACTGGGTTCCCATGAGATCTCCATGTGGTTGGTGTCCCCAGTACCCCACATTGAGTTCCTATGGGGTCTCCAC